TTAGTCTAACACATGGTTACCCAAGGAAACATATCTGGTCATTGATTAGTGGACATTCAGCTATTGCTCCCAGTGACTGTCCTTGTGGTAGTCATACACCTTATCCAGTTCCATCATTTGTTGGTTCTCACTATTATTGTGAAGCTGGATGTCACCAATCACGTCCATCTAGTAATATACTGTATCCTTCTGATCCATTATGGGATGGTAAAGGTTGTGGTAGTAGTGAGACCAATTGTTGTCAGCGTACTCTTATTCCTTGGTTCTACAGATCTTTTGATTATTCTACTACTGATAATATTGAGATGAGAGTCTGTTGTGATGAAGGCACAGATGATGAAGATGTTCCCATTAGAGAATGTGAAATTTATGTAAAGTGAAGATTGGTGAATTAATACTTTACTACACATGTAGTTCTTAAAACTTTTTGGTTTGATTTTTAGGCCATGTTTTACTAGATATATGTTTTATTGGACATAATTTTAGTTAACTTTTTCTAGGCTGGAGTGATTTTAGTTTTGTAGTTTTGTTGCAATAAAAAGTGATGAATTAATTTTGTAAAAGCAGGAAATGAGTAGTTTACACTGCAATATTCTTTATCAGTGTAAGTGAACTGCTCAATGAGAAAGGACTACCATTATAATATTATAATGCTTTTTTTCGATGAGCAAAACTTTTGCAGTTTTTGCAGATTATCATGCAGCCACTCATTAGTAACGCGGTAGCGTTACTAAGTAGGATTCACCCCAAAACAATATGGCTGCCACGACTTTTGCAGCTTTGCTATACCGGGGAAAACGAGCTCCTATGCTTACCAGACTTCTTAGAGGACCCTATCTTGACCAGAGGACTCCATTGGTACCACTAGCGTGGCTCTACACCTTGTCTAAGAGAAAAGTCAAAAATCGGCAAAACGACCATTTTTGTTGAGTCCACTTTTTTCATCTTCATCATCTCCTGTCAATCCAGTTGTCCGTGTGTATCTCAATATTGGCTGGTGCTAGAAGGCTAATTCTTACACCATTCTACTACAACAGTCTATGCGCAGGTCCATGTCCCATCACCTCATTCTCCAAGAAAAGAAGTGACACTATGACTGTAGGATCAGACAAAACTCACCTCATTCCGCCATTTTGTTAATTAATCTTACCTCGGGTCCACCTGCCTACCGTGGTCCACCGTCCTCAGTACCGATTGCCTAAACAATGAGACGGTGGCCACACTGCCCTGAGGAAGTGTGGCCAATGTATGGGCCCCACTTCAGCCCCGCCCCCCAGAATAACCGGGCCTTTCATGCGTTCCGGTCCACCATGCCGGGGGGGTTCTCCGCCCACGCAATGACATTCTGTGGGCGGACTAAACCCCCTGGCCTCCCGCCCCCTCATTGTGGTTGCACGAGGTGTGCCTCAAGGGGGAATCCGGAAACCCTCAAGGTGGTCCCACCCATATTTGGGGTGGGGCCAACCATCGGAGGGGATGACCCACAGATTATTATCTAGGGGGCAGAGCTTCCGTGGTGCCCATACTATCACACTGGGAAGGGACCCAGTGGAAAACCTAAACCTACTAGATGTTGGGTGGGTGGTGGAAGAACAATCGGTGGTGCTTCTTCCATGCTTGAAATCCTAAGTGAATGCTGGATGATGCTGGTCACCCACGCATGCGCACAACTGAACTGCGTGGGCGTACAAGTGGGTTGCTACATTTGCATACTACCCACGCCATGCAGTGGGTGCGTGGGCGGTCAACCCAAGCGAGGATGGCCCCTGCTGATTAACTCCATTTAAACCATTGCTCTAAATGACAATTAAAGAAGCATGTGCTCCAAAATTTGGGTGTGGTCGCGCATGCTCAGATCTCAGAACTGGGAAAAGAAAGCAATTTTTTACCTAGCTACGCTTGCATCAACTGCAATACTTACTTAGTGGAGGTTCCAGGCTTCCAGTTCTAGCTAAGAGAAGTTATTTAATTTTAGATATCATTGTTTTATTAAAATAAATTGTATTAAAAAAATTACAAACAATAATGTTGAACAATGATCATGAGCTTGACAACAGGAACAACACAACACAGGATTGCAAGGAAGATGGATACTCTCACTGCTTCCTGAACAAGGACTCATGTCATGACTACTATTTAATTTCATTATAATTTTACAAGATGCATAAAGTAAGTAGTTTGCCATAGTACAGACTACAGAGAGAGCAGAGGAAGCATCCTGAAGGACTACCAGCAAGAACTGCTGGCACCCAGAAAATCAGAAAAGAAAAGAAAAGGGGAAAATGAATGAATAGATTTAAAAATATGCATATAATATATAAATAAAGATCATAATATACATAAATAAATAAATCATCAACAATTAAGGAAAAGGAGAATTAAAAATGACGCCAAATTAAATCAGAAATTTGAAATGATGGGCTCAAAGTGGAATTAGGTGCATGGGTAGCACAGCCAATAGATATTATTATAGCAGCTTTCACTAAACATTGATCAGTATAGAATTAACTATTCACCAGAATGGCAATGGACACTATCTGAAGAAATATTATTACAAATACTATAAAAAAAATCAACACAAACAAGAACATAAAAAATTAAAAAAAAACAAGATGGAGTAGGATTCTAGAGCAAGTTCATAAAAAAGTAATCAAAACAAGGGCAAGTAGGATTCTGAACGACTATCAATGAAAATCCAAAATGAA